ACACATACACACACACATACACACACACATACACACACACATACACACACACACACATACAAACCCAGATGATTACATAACCTCCTGGCGGAGGTAATAAAAGCTAGCTCCTCAGTTTAGCATAACCCAGGTCAAGAACGCTTTGTTGGAAATAAGGATCTAAAAAATTTTTCCTGGAAAAATATTTTTCCGGACCACAATCTCCCCTCCCCCCCGTCGCCAAAAATTTTTCGGTCAGTGTACCATTTTAGGGGTAAAAAATTTTTTCCGGAGCACAAAATTTTTGGACGAGTACGTTGCAATTGCTTTCGAGGGACTTCATCTCATTTTTTTATCCCAAAATTCGGTAGTTAGCCCAAGAAAACAGATATCTTGTCCTTTGCGCGGAAATATTTAACACACAAAAAGGGCTGGGGCCCAACAAAAATTTTTCAGGGGCCCCCAGCAACTCGGGGCCCGGGGCAATTCCCCCCCCAGGCCCCTCACGGCGGCCCTGCCTGTGATTGGACGATGTTTCGAAAGAACGGTTTATATTATCATTATCATAGTAAAAGATCTTTCGAGGATGAGTTATCATCTTCTCAGTTTGCTTATCCAATCGGTGGGTGTAGAACAGACGCCTTAATTAAATTACAGTATATGTACCTGAAAGCACTAGAAGAACCAAATTGTGATGCAGTGAGATTAATTGCAATGGACTTTTCCAAAGCATTTGACAATGTAAGCCACGTAAAACTGAGTGAAAAATTGAAATCGAGTTCTATGAACCCTTATTTAGTAAATTGGTACTTAAATTTCTTAAAAGATCGAAGACAGCGGACTAGTTTTCCAAGGAATGACATGCAATTAAGTGGAAAGATATTAACAAGGGAGTTATGCAAGGAACTGTAACAGGACCACATTTCTTTAATTTATTTATTAATGATTTGGAGATTAAAAACTGTTCCAACACCCCCTTGTTAAATTCGCGGATGATTCCTCTCTTTTCGTGCCGATTTTGAAGAATACCCAAGATTGTAGTCCTAAAGCTATAGATGAATTTAAGGACTGGTCCGAATCAAACTCTTTACCTTTAAATGAGGGTAAATGTAAAGAAATGATTATGTTGAAGAAAGGACGATTAGAGGATTGTGTAACACCAATTTATTGTTTTGAAAGGCACTCTAGTCTTGAAATACTGGGGCTAACCTTTAATTAAAATGACAAGCAGATTTGAGAAATGTGTTAAGAAAAAGTTGATGAAAGCAAATAAATGCTTGTAATTGTTTGTAATTCGAAAGCGGAGGAATGAAGGATACAGTCAAGACGAATTAGATCTTCTTTTGAAGCCACCGGTCCAGTCACAACTTACCTATGGCTTATCAGTTATTGCTGCATCACCACCAGAATTAACAACTATTCAAAACTATAAAAGAAGATAGACATCAGAACAAATAGATATTAATATACTGTTAGAGCAGACAGATAGAAAGGTGTTGGGAAAGCTGTGTAAACAAAACAATCATCCGTTAAGAAAAATCTGTCCAAAAATTAAAGAATAGACAGTTAAACTTAGAACACAAGAGGCACAGTGGCCAAGCATTTCTACCGAGCGTCTTAAAAATAGTTTTATCAATAGATGTATTTTTAGATATAATTACCTCCGCCAGGAG